GGCACACAAAAACACATCATCCCTATATCTGGACTGATAGCCAGCCATATGCACTATACTGCCAAACCGGTCATTAAAAACCTTAAAACCCCCGTTGCCCTTAAATCCCTCCTCAGTCCCCACCTTAGGTTCTGCCTTTGCAGTTCACCCAGATTTAGTTCTTATTGGTCGGTTTCTATGCTAGTCAGTGTCTCTGGGCCTATCTCTGGGCCTGATCAAAGAGGCAGGGTTGATAAGCAGCTCCACGGAGGCCCGGAGAGAAATAGGTGCGGCTGTAGGCGAAGTCCGGTTCTGTTTGGTCGGTTTCTATGCCAGTCAGCATCTCCGGGCCTATCTCCAGGCCTGATCAGAGAAGTGGGGCTGGTCAGTAGCCCCCATGGAGGCCCGGAGAGAAACACAGGCGCAGCTGCTGGTGAAGCCCTGAGAGAAAGAGAGAGGCAACGGCTGATCAACAGCTGCCACAGATGCTGGGGATCAGACCCTGCCTCTCTCTCTCTGAAGGCCTCTCTCGGGCCCTGATCCACAGGCCCCTTGGCAGTCAGTGCTGGGTTGCTGTGCTGGCACCAGCTGCAGTTAGTGCTGGGTCGCCACAGCAACCCAGCACTGACTTCTGGTGTTTGGTTGAGCCTTGGTCGTTGTGGACATTACGGACCCTGGATCTTTATATATATAGATTATATTATTTTCCATACAAACAACTGTAAAACTGCCTTTGCCCCACCCTATATTAAAGGCAAACAACTCGGTTCTAGGATTATAAAATTTGGGACAAGATAACCAAATTCAACCTCTTATTTACTTAAAACTGAAGACTGGAGAGACAGCAACTTGGTCAAGGTCACACAACTAACCCACAGCAGAGCCAATTTTTAAGTATATGATCACACTAACTTCTCTGGGATAGGAACAATGTAAGTTTCTGTTCGCATTGTCATTCCTCTGGAAAAGTAACCAAACATAACATTCACAAATTATGAATTTGTGCATTTTACTGCATTATAACCTTTTGTTCTGCTTCATTTCATGGTCTTCTTAACCAGTGGAAAAGTTTTAACTTTTCTCACATAGTTCTTATCTTAATAAGATGTACAATGATGACACTGAAGAGATAAGTGTCAGAGGCAAGTACTTCTGAACAAAGTGACTTATTAGATGAATAGCTGTACACACATTGAATGAGATTGACATAATGGAAGTTTCATTGTCTGAGACTTTAAAAATGAGGACAAAATGGTAGAAAATAATTTAGATTGTAATGTCCTGACTCATCAAATTAATCTAATGGACATTTTCACTTCTAATTTAAATCACTTGTTTTCCCACATTATTCTTATATGAATTCTTAAATGAATCTTAATTCTAAATTATTTCTTTAGACATGCCTTTATTAGAAAAATTTCTTTTCCATAGGAGCAAATAACAAAAACAAAAGCATAGTCTAAAAAGATTTAATCTAATCCATTTTACTGTTTCTATGACTCTCATCTTTTCAACTATGAT